TAGCATAAAGGCATATCTAAAATATGTTTAGTAACCACAAGGACCGCATTAATATTTTGTAGTGAGGAAAATACAGTGCATTCGGAAAGTAATCAGACCCCTTGACTTTTTCCACATTTTGTTACGTTACAGCCTTATTTTAAAATTGATTAAATTTGTGTTTTTTCTTCATCAATCTACACGCAATACCCCATAATGACAAAGCAAAAACAGGTTTTTAGAAATGTTTGCACATTTACTACAAATAAAAACCAGAAATATCACATTTACATAAGTATTCAGACCCTTTACTCAGTACTTTGTTGAAGCACCTTTGGCAGCTTTGAGTCTTCTTGGGTATGACGCTACAAGCTTCCATTCTTCTCTGCAGATCCTCTCAAGATCTGTCAGGTTGGATGGGGAGTGTCGCTGCACAGCTATTTTTAGGTTTCTCCAGAGATATTAGATCGGGTTCAAGTCCGGTCTCTGGCTGGGCCACTCAAGGACATTTTGGGACAAGTCTCTGAGCCACTCCTGCATTGTCTTGGCTGTGTGCTTAGGGTCATTGTCCTGTTGGAAGGTGAACCTTCATCCCAGTCTGAGGTCCTGAGCGCTCTGGAGTAGGTTTTCATCAAGGAACTCTCTGTACTTTGCTCCGTTCATCTTTCCCTCGATCCTGACTAGTCTCCCAGTCCCAGCCGCTGAAAGACATCCCCGCAGCATGATGCTGCCACCACCATGCTTCACCGTAGGGATGGTGCCAGGTTTCCTCCAGACGTGAGGCTTGGCATTCAGGCCAAAGGGTTCAATCTTGATTTCATCAGACCAAATAATTTTGTTTCTCATGGCCTGAGAGCCTTTAGGTGCCTTTTGGCAAACCCCAAGCGGCCTGTCATGTGCCTTTTACTGAGGAGTGGCTTCCATCTGGCCACTCTACCATAAAGGCCTGATTGGTGGACTGCTGCAGAGATGGTTGTCCTTCTGGAAGACTCTGTCAGAGTGACCATCGGGTTCTTGGTCACCTACCTGACCAAGGCCCTTCTCCCCCGATTGCTCAGTTTGGCCGGGCGGCCAGCTCTAGGAAGAGTCTTGATGGTTCAAAACTTCTTCCATTTAAGAATGATGGCGGCCACTTTGTTCTGGGGGACCTTCAATGCTGCAGAAATGTTTTGGTACCATTCCCCAGATTGTGCCTCGACACAATCCTGTCTCGGAGTGCTACGGACAATTCCTTCGACCTCATGGCTTGGTTTTTGCTCTGACATGCACTGTCAACTGTGGGACCTGATATGGACAGGTGTGTGCCTTTCCAAATCATGTCCAATCAATTGAATTTACCACAGGCAGGGCTGTGGTGGTCACGGAATTTCGTCAGCCGGTGATTGTCAAGCAAATAATTGTCGGTTTCACGGTAATTGACCGTTAATTAATATAAACACATTTAGCATCTCCTGGCTTCCACACATAGCCTACAAGCCACTGATGCAGACCTTTGGAACATCTACATTTGAAAAAGTATAATAAATCCATGTATTATAGCCTACACCGTCACAATAAATCCATCATTTATTTTAGACAGGTCTAAAGAAATATGATCTGAAGAAAATGTAGTCTATTTCAGAAGAACAGAATAGCATACTCTGAGTTGTCCTTATGTTAGGTCCTGATCTGGCTATGCCAAATGCCTGTGGGCTACACTAGTTCATTTAGCAGACAAGATTTGCTTTGATTCCGTGGCATTATTTTATAGTATGAAGAATACAATTGAACAAAGCTGATATGCAGAAGCGTAAAGAGGGGGTTGGGGTTGGGGTGGGGATATTTCCTCCACGCGATTTGAGGGAGTGCGCACATTTGGCTATTCTGTGTTGAGCGGTTAACAAAGTAATAGGTACTCCTATATGCTTAATTTAGAGTTATTAATGTAACTTTAGTTGTTCTACAAACGTTGGGCTATATGTTTTGATTCTTAATACATTGAAAGGCTGCATGATGCGACTCTCAAGATGATTTGAAAAAGTTGCTTGAAATGCATGAGCTCTGCTTTGTGTTTTTGCGCAGGCCGTAATGCACCCTAAAAAAATGTGTGGCCAGTGTCCATTGTGCCCTTCTCCCTGAGTGCTGCGCACTCGGAAGCACCTCTCACTCAAATGGCTCTCCATCACGTGATCGGGTCTTTCTTACAGGCTACAAGTGAAGACAGACACATCGGGGACGCAACTGCGCGCGTCCTTATCCAATTCCGAGGTGCTTATTGAAGATATTGGAAGAACTGTCCACATTTACTTTTCGTCAGCCAACAAGATGAGTAGGCCTAACGAACAGCAAAAGCACTAGGCTATGTCAATCTACTATCCCCCATAGTACAAACGTCTACCTATTCTATTCTGTGCGAGAAATAAATATTCCAAACATAGTCTAGGCCAGTTGTGGGATGCGATGGATCCCACATTAATACAAACACTAGCATCAAAAACACTTTTTTACGCAATGTGGCTGACGCAACAGATCTGAACGTTTAGCTTAAAATGTTGATAAACTATTAGGCTATTTCTTCACATTATAAGTGCAGCAATGCGCACACGGCAGTAGGCTATAAGCGCTAATGTTCCATTTGCGGAAAATACCATTATCAAAAGTGACCGCAAATGCAATTATGCATGTAATACTTTTATTATAAAGGTGCATTTTTATGGTGAAAATGATCTTCCCCAAACTTGAAACTCACACGATGCTTATGTATACCAGTTTGGCTCTACACCCCTTATAAAGTGGATTAATGTGCTTAATTTTAATAAGTTATTTGGCCACTTTAGTTGTGATACAAACCTTATCAAAACACATATGCCTATGGGCTAGGCTACATGAGGTGTTCGACTATGATTAGAAGAAGTCCCCCCAAAAAGGCATTGTTTCTTATGCTGGGCATCATTCACAAATTATAATATATAATTCACAACTGGTAGGCTAATATTGTCACCCATCAGACTATTCTTGATTTCATCTTGTCTATACTAAATAATATATGTGTGACATTTGTTTTGATTTAGAATGGACCATTATCATGCACCTGTATCAAAACAAGGGCAGCGGGAAAAAATACATCTCATCTATGCACTTAAATAGTGAATGGAGGAGGCTTTTCACATTGTTCATTTTCATGCCAGCCAGGTAGGCTACACTGTCGTAAATATAAGCAATGTGCTTAATATCAGGAAAGTTGAGAAATGTATATTGGTTGAGGGGTGTATATTGGTCCGGACAATCAAAAACTCACAACGCTTTGTCCGATGAAAAAAAAATTATTCAGATTTGTCCATCAGTAAGCTCAGAGAACAAGTGTACCAAAGGAAATTATACATTTCCGTTATGGACATGAATGGGATACAGTGATCCCTCGCCACTTCGCGGTTCACTTATCGCGGATTCGCTATTTCGCGGATTTTCATAATGCATTTTTTTTTTTTGGTGCATTGTGCTCTGCATTCTGATTCGCTAAAAACTCACTCCCGCTTCTTGTATCAAAACATGCTACGAATTGTGCTATCATTTTGTCGTCTCGTGCAGTTATGTGTACGTACATAAAACAGCTTGGCAAATTTACATTAAGTTGGCCAAATTATCTTGTAATTTCGAACATCTCCTAAACCCATAATGTCGACGAAACGGCCTGGACCGACAAAAGCACCTGCGGATGGGCCCAAACGGCGGAAGATGCTACCTATCTCAGATAAAGTTAAACTTCTGGACATGCTAAGGGAAGGTAAATGACAAAGCCACAAAGCGACGATGAAAGAGAAGAGGGAGAAGAGGACACGAGAGATGAGGAGGAAGGACTAACGCTTGGTCGCTTAGCAACCATGGTGCGAATGGCCACTGAACTTAAGCGAGTAGCTGAGGAATGGGACCCTTTGATGAGCCGTTCATTACAGTTCTCCAACGTAATCGATGGTGGCATGTCGGTGTACAAGGATCTTTTTGCAAAGAAGAAAAAAGAGCGACAACAGCTGCCTATCACTATGTTCTTCTCCCGAACAAACACACCTGCACCGCGGGCTTCAGAAGAAGAGAACACTGCAGAGCGCAGTCAGGATGCAGCGGCCCAGTCTGAAGAGCAGTGAAACGGCCTACACGTGAGTCACTGTATTTGTATACATGTAATAGTTGCTAATTGTAAAAAAAAAAAGTTTTCTATTTCGCGGATTTCACTTATCGCGGGTCATTTTCGGAACGTAACCCCCGCGATAAACGAGGGATTACTGTATATGTAAAATACTGAAAATGAGGATGAAAGTATATTAAAGAATTTTTGGGTGCTATGGTTTGTAAATGGCTTTAACACCGCCATATAGGGACTTATAAGGAGTTGTCCTCACTGTGTGTGAAATTTGGTGCCTTTATCACAGTCTACAATTCCCCTCAAATTTGAGGCTCAGCTGCTGAACAACATGGTTAAAAATAAAAGCTATGCATGAAGCAAGCCTCTTTAGTCATAAGAGTCTCACCTAGTCGACAGATATTTAGGAGACCTCATGAGCTGTCCTAACCAGTTAAGACTGAGTTACCAGCAGGTGTGTCTTGATAATAGAAAAAGGCAGCGAGTGTTGGGCCAGTAACTGAAAGGTCGCTGGTTGTAATTCCCGAGCCGGCAAGGTGAAAAATCTGCCGTTCTGCCTTTCAGCAAGTCAGTTAACCCCCAACACATTTTGGTTGATTGCATTCAGTTGTGCAACTGACTAGATATCCCCTTTCTCTTCAAGTTATCCCTTCGGAGCGCAATATCACATTGTTAAAAAATATGCCTAAATTGGGTATACTTATGTCAACAACGTCAATCAGCGTCATGACTATATTTCCTTTGCGGTACCTCAACCTGTCGATAGGCCTTAATTAATAAAGCCGTCAGGTAAATCACTGCCCCTAACCGCCCTGGCCGCCCCACCACTACCATAATCATCATCCCATCAGTAACATTATCTCTCCATTGTCTCTCCGACTCAATTAAGCTAATGCTATGTAAATTAGGTCCCAACGCCAGTCTTGCCTGAGAGCTTTCTGGACACTTTGCAGTATTTACTGACATCTTTACTAGTGCTTAATGCCACACAGCAGGCTGCACTGGAGAAAGGAAAAGGAGACCACTATGATTAGTAAACACTGGTAGAGAGGAGGTGTAGGGTCTAGCTAGGACATGGGGTGTATTCAAAATGGCACCCTCTTCCCTATGGCCCCTGGTCAAAAGTAGTGCACTATGTAGGGAATTGGGTGCCACTCATTTCCATTGCAGACATGTACATGTTGGAGACGAGGTAGATGTCCAGTTGAGGTCATACAACACATGGAATGGAGCTTGTACTGTAAATGTAGATGGCTCTCTTGTGATTCTCCAAGAGTGTTTTTGCGTCCTTCAATAAATATAAGAACAGCACCGAAAGCCTAACTATACAACCGGGCCAATCTTCAATACTGTTAACATTTTTAAAACTGTATTTTTGTCAAAAGTCAGAGGCAGCTAGTTCTATAGATTTTCAGTCAATAACACAACAAAATTCAGTTGTGGTGGAGGGTCAATGTGTCTCAAGATTAAATGTTGACAATGAAGCATAACCCACAGTTCAACGTCTATTTTTGATTTACACTTGGTTGAGTTGTCAACTAACGTGAATGCAAGGTGAAATCCCCCCCAAAAATCACCATTGGATTTAGGTTAAAAGTTTGGTGAAAAAAAATACACAATTCCCTAACATTGATGACTTTTTGCAAATCCAATCAGTTTTCCACATTGATTCAATGTCATCACATATCATTTTGTTGTTGAAATGATACGGAAACAAAGTTGGTTCAACCAGTTTCTGCCCAGTGAGAAGGAACATAATTTGAACAAAGTCCAGAGTCTGTCTGTATGCCTGTTTCAGATGGTCTGTGTGTACACAATGAAGATAAACCCGATTAATGTTTGATTACACCGGGGTAGGAATGATAGAGAATATTTTGTGGACACAGAAAGGATCTGTACACCTGTACAGGCAACAATAGTGATGTAATTTCACAGCATTTCCAACAGCATAGTTCCTCTGTTTCTGGCACGGTTAGATAAAGAGGAGTACACCCTGGAGGAATTATGACCATCCCTGGCTACCTGGACTATTTGCATTGCCCACCCCACCCCACCCCAACCCCCTCTTTACGCTTCTGCTACTCTGTTTATTATTTATGCATAGTCACATTAACTCTACCCACATGTACATTTTACCTCAATTACCTCGACTAACCAGTGCCCCCGCACATTGACTCTGTACTGGTACCCCCTGTATATAGCCTCGCTACTGTTAATTCATTTTACTGCTGCTCTTTATATCTATTTTTTACTTAACACTTTTATTTTCTTTAAAAACTGCATTGTTGGTTAAGGGCTTGTAAGTAAGCATTTCACTGTAAGGTCTACACCTGTTGTATTCGGCGCATGTGGCAAATGCAATTTTATTTTATTTTATTTGATTCAGAGCTCCAAGACAGGATTGTGTCGAGGCACAGATCTGGGGAAGGGTACCAAAAATGTCTGCAGCATTGAAGGTCCCCAAGAACACAGTGGCCTCCATCATTCTTAAATGGAAGAAGTTTGGAACCACCAAGACTCTTCCTAGAGCTGGCCGCCCGGCCAAACTGAGCAATCGGGGGAGAAGGGCCTTAGTCAGGGAGGTGACCAAGAACCCGATGGTCACTCTGACAGAGCTCCAGAGTTCCTCTGTGGAGATGGGAGAACCTTCCAGAAGGACAACCATCTCTGCAGCACTCCACCAATCAGGCCTTTATGGTAGAGTGGCCAGATCGAAGCCACTTTAAAAGGCACCTAAAGGACTCAGACCATGAGAAACAATATTCTCTGGTCTGATGAAACCAAAATTGAACCCTTTGGCCTGAATGCCAAGTGTCATATCTGGAGGAAACCTGGCACCATCCCTACGGCGAAGTATGGTGGTGGCAGCATCATGCTGTGGGGATGTTTTTCAGCATCAGGGACTGGGAGACGATCGAGGGAAAGATGAACGGAGCAAAGTACAGAGAGATCCTTGATGAAAACCTACTCCAGAGCACTCAGGACCTCAGACTGGGGCGAAGGCTCACCTTCCAACAGGACCACGAACCTAAGCACACAGCCAAGACAATGCAGGAGTGGCTTCGGGACAAGTCTCTGGAGAGACCTGAAAATAGCTGTGCAGAGACGCTTCCCATCCAACCTGACAGAGCTTGAGAGGAGCTGCAGAGAAGAATGGGAGAAATTCCCAAAATACAGGTGTGCCAAGCTTGTAGCGTCATACCCAAGAAGACTCAAGGCTGTAATCGCTGCCAAAGGTGCTTCAACAAAGTACTGAGTAAAGGGTCTGAATACTAATAAATCCAAATACATTTGCAAACAGGAAAGGGCCTTTCCCAAATTGTCCCCGGGCCCTATACAGGGCCCAAAACAATCACTCAGAGTATAACAGGATTTATTAAAGGGGCAATCCTTAGTTGCTACATCCATTTTTGGACCTATAAATTAATATGTACCCATTGATTATTGACGCTGTTTGTTCACCCGCACCCGCCCGCAATTGCTAATAAGCCATCCGCAACCACATGACTGTGTGATAAAGTGAAAATCTGAGGCCCACACCCTGACCCTAACTCGCAAATATAGAAAATGCGCTGTAGGCTACAGTCAGAGAAGGTGGAATGATTTTGTGACAGGGTGTGCAGGATTTTTTTGTTGTTGCTTAATTTAGATATGTTTCTGCTTAGAATTTCCGACAATTTGGTAGGCAACATTATATTACCTCCCCCCTTTTCATTTTCTGCTACTTTCTCTCTACCTTTCGCACACACTTTCCTTCTCCCACCTCCACCCACTGTTTTTATTCTCTTGTTAAAAGCCACTATTTCACCTTTCTTTTGTAATGCCATCATCAACATCAACAATTCACTTACGCTGCCTGTCATGCTGCAGCTAGCTGATTTCAGAGTGGAAGGTGTGTGAAGTGTCTTCAACTTAATTATTTTGTAGCTGGATACATTCCTCCTTGATTTGGAAGAAAATGCATATAGCCAATAAAGCCTGTCTCTGAAGATAAAACCTGAGAAGAAGATGTAATATTGATCACAATGCGTTTTCCTTTAGGCCCTAAAGCTTACAGGCTTACACACTAATTCCAGATAGCCTAAAAAGAATGAAAGAAAAACCTAAATGTAGCCTATAGATATACATTTCACAAGAATTATATATTCATGGATTTTCTATTTATTCAACCCATCTGCCCTTCATCCACACAATATTTCATGACCCTAAACAAGCCCGCCCCGATTGCGGGTTATGAGTCAAACTTGTTTTACTGCAATGTTTGTAAACAAAGTAAATGTAAACACCCACTGTATAGCCTAAAAACATGGTTAAAACTTTAATTTTGATATCATGGATGGTCAATCCTTGCATCCATAGCGTCTATGGATTTGAGTGGTTGCATTTCTCCAGCCCCATCCCTCAGCTTTTTACTGAAACTGTTAAGGTTTCAATTAAGGATTGCCTCTTTAAACACCTTTCTTAGAGTAATAGTGTTATTATATGGTGCTATCCTCTAGTGATAGCTGCATTCACCCTTCTATTTCAGTAAAACATAATGGTGAATGCAGCTATCAGGCTGGTTCCACCAGGCAAACATGTAGCCTGACTGTCATGTAATGCAGTGAAGTGGTAAACTGTATTTGAACCAAAACATGAATTCAACTGGAACCTACTAGATACATAAACTAATCCCTTTACACAGAACGGAGAAGCAGGAGATATTACAGAGCTACTACAGTAGTTTCACGTTACCACACTGATAGGACTCTATCGTTAACTTTGACACCTGGTGCTCCACAAATACACACAACCCTATAGTGGAGTGTGAGTGATCGTTAAGTCAGACCGAGGTCTGAGATATAGGCTGATTGGCTGTGTCCTCTAGGGAATCTAGAGGTAAATTAGCTCGGGTCCCATCATGTTTCCTATGCAACTAGAGGCGTTAGTAGAGGAACGCGCTCTAACGCCCTGGACCAGAGCTAGAGGGAAATAGGCCTACCTGCTGGGGATGAAGTTGGACTCCTGGAGTTTCTCTGCCTGCTCCAGGTCTCTGGGGAAGCCATGCAGCACCCAGCCCCGTGTGGTACAGTCCAGCCTGCTGAGACGCTCAGTCAGGATCTGCAGCACCATGCTGTCAGGCACTGAGGAAACACAGGGACACACATAACACACTCCCTTAGAAACTCTGGTCCTGTTCTTTAAGAATTCTTAAGAAGACTTTAAGAATGCATCCTTCCTGATCAGACAGATAGATCCCTGATCTGACATGCCTGGATTGGTGGAAGATGTGATAGAACCATTGCTTATACTGTATCTATCAATTTGTATTAGATCAGTCACATTCCATAGTTTACACATGCTAACGGACATATTCATGATTAACATATTTATCTCATTACTTTCGTTGCTTTGTGGATTCTTCAGGAATTTCCTTAATAAACACTCTATAGCCTACTCTTTATTAATATTTTCATTTAGAAATAGAACATTTCATTGATTAGCCTAATTCCTGGCGTTATCATCATATCAGCAGATTGTGTCCAGAGGATTCTTATACATGTGCTCTTCCATTCTGACAAGGCTTGTGGTGCAAAAAATATATAATCCCCCCCCCCCCCCCCCCCAAAGAAAATTGGGTATCAACCTTTATGTCGGCTTGTCTGGTATAATTTATCCCCCTCTGTACTTTCTATTTGGTCTTGTTTTTTTCCAACCCCACTTATTGCACCTTGAGCCAGAAATCTCTCATGCTTCCAAAAAGAAACATGCCTATTAAGTGTAGGCTATATCGTCAGATACATGCATTTTCTTCTAAATCAAGGAGGAATGAATCACGGAGTTATGTATCCAGCTACAAAATAATTCAGTTGGAATCAGACAAATTCATGTTCACATTTCTTGAAGACACTTCACACACACCTTCCACTCTGAAATCAGCTAGCTGCAGCATGACAGACAGCGTAAGTGAATTGTTGATGTTGATGATGGCATTCCAAAAGTAAGGTGAAGCAGTGGCTTTTAATAAGAGAAGAAAAAACAGTGGGTGGAGGTGGGAGAAGGAAAGTGTGTGCGAAAGGTAGAGAGAAAATAGCAGAAAATGAAAAGGGGGGGAGGTAATATAATTATATTCGTTGAGAGAGAAAAAATAAGTGCAAAACCCAAGGGGACCATGAAGCTTGTGAAAAATGTAAGTTGATGGATTGAAACGGTCCGATTTCCACATCAAACAATCTGAGCTTCTCCCTCCTGCAGAAACATCTTCAAAACGTCAGTCAGCCTGAAAAAAGGTTTCTTCTTCTCCCTCCTTTCCTTCCACTCCTCCATAACACCATTTCCTATTTTCTACTTCCTTAATGTGGCTCTCCAAATCCCTGAAGCACTGGACTGGTTACACTAGCCCCCATCTCTCCCTACTCTAATTACACCCCAGTGAGTCTATTAATCAACTAGTAAATTATTTAAGCAAGCTCCTCTCCCTGCAACCCTCACTGTCACTGAGAGAGGGAGAGTGATGTAGGAAGGGTTGGGGAGAAAGATGGCAAATGGCAAAAGCCGCCTTCTCCCACTGGATAACATAAAGCCCAGTTCTACAAAATACAAGAAGTTGAACACAACAATTAACATATGCCGTGCATATTCTCCACTCCAATATGTACATTGGTAACAATAAGAATGTGAGTTGGTTCCCAACACTGCAGGGGCCAGCAGTGGTTATTCTGGTCGTAAATAGTCGCAAATGGAATCTATGGGTCATTTTCCCAGACCCAGATTAAGCCTGTGTGTGTGGGTGTGCAGGTGTGCAAATGTGTGTTTGTGTATGCGTAGCCTATGTGTGTGTGTGTATGTGTGTGTGGTGTGTGTGCGTGTGAGGGATAAGTGTGCGAGCCAAGGCCCTCATTAGGCTTGAGCTCAGTATGCATTGGAGGCACAATCTCGACACACATCTGCATGGAGTCCACTCCCCAGGGGATGTTTATTCAATTAATAAAAAGTTGCTCAAGGCGAGTGGCCCAGACACAGGCTCTGGGCACAGCAGTGATTGGCAAGCTTTGGCAGCTCCATGCACTCTCTAGAGTGGAGCTGTAGTCCCAGCTAAATGGCAAACGCCTTATATCATGTCTAATGTTCTTTTCCACAGGATATTATTCCATAGTAGCAAAACAATTAAATAACAAAACTGACTGAAATATCTATATTTTTCCAATCAAGATGAGAAACATAACCCAGATCAAAACCTGACTCGAAGTATTTGGAAATGTAGTACTAGAGAATGTCTCCTTAGTTATTATTCACATAAGAGAATTGTCTGATGATGAGTAGTCCGAGCTCATCTAATTCTCCTAGGCAAATGACTCTAGCCATTCCAGAGCTGTTCATTACTATTGCATGGGCAGGGACACAGGTCTCTGTGGACACTTATCCATTTGGACTCCCCCCTTTAACACTGTTTACATGCAGGTTCTGATGCTAAAAGCATATAATTGAAGGAGGAACCAGGTAAATTGTATGGCCACAAAGATGTGTGCGGGTGTGTGAGCGCATGTATGTAAGAGTGCACCCTCTTGTATGACTAGCTGTGTACCTTGCTGTCCAGATTCCAAGTAAGGTTTAATGAGTTCTCCCATATTGGTGGCGTCTGCAGAAACCGCCTCCAGAAGCTCACCGCAGCAAACTACAAGGGGAGCGGAGAGTCGGGACAAGAAAGGGGAGACATTCAAGTTGAAATAAACAGAATACACAATGTAACCTTTCAGACAGGGAGTAAACAGAATAGGAAAAATGACAGCTCCTGTTCCTGGAGTCATAGGCTGCGTCCCAAATGGCACCCTATTCCCTAGAGTGGCCTTGGTCAAAGGTAGTTCACTACATAGGGAATAGCGTGCATTTGGGATGCAGCCATATACAGTAAACAAGGAGAGATGAAGGATGGAAAATGAAAGTCTGTGCAAAAAAACATGAAGAAATGGCAGTGATATAAGACACCATGTCAAAACAGAACATTTTAATCATGTTTATGTCTAAACAAATATATATCATATACTGTACATACAGTCCTCACCATATGTATTTGGACAGTGAAGCTACAATTTTAATTTTGGTTCTATACTCCAGCACTTCAGCCATAAATCTACAGCATTAAATAATTTACAGTGGGGAGAACAAGTATTTGATACACTGGCGATTTTGCAGGTTTTCCTACTTACAAAGCATGTAGAGGTCTGTAATTTTTATCCTAGGTACACTTCAACTGTGAGAGACGGAATCTAAAACAAAAATCCAGAAAATCACATTGTATGATTTTTAAGTAATGAATTTGCATTTTATTGCATGACATAAGTATTTGATCACGTACCAACCAGTAAGAATTCCGGCTCTCACAGAACCTGTTAGTTTTTCTATAAGAAGCCCCCCTGTTCTCCACTCATTACCTGTATTAACTGCACCTGTTTGAACTCGTTACCTGTATTAAAGACACCTGTCCACACACTCAATCAAATAGACTCCAACCTCTCCACAATGGCCAAGACCAGAGAGCTGTGTAAGGACATCAGGGATACAATTGTAGACCTGCACAAGGCTGGAAAGGGCTACAGGACAACAGGCAAGCAGCTTGGTGAGAAGGCAACAACTGTTGGCGCAATTATTAGAAAATGGAAGAAGTTCAAGATGATGGTCAATCACCCTCGGTCTGGGGCTCCATGCAAGATCTCACCTCGTGGGGCATCAATGATCATGAGGAAGGTGAGGGATCAGCCCAGAACTACACGGCAGGACCTGGTCAATGACCTGAAGAGAGCTGGGACCACAGTCTCAAAGAAAACCATTAGTAACACACTACGCCGTCATGGATTAAAAATCCTGCAGCGCACGCAAGGTCCCCCTGCTCAAGCCAGCGCATGTCCAGGGCCGTCTGAAGTTTGCCAATGACCATCTGGATGATCCAGAGGAGGAATGGGAGAAGGTCATGTGGTCTGATGAGACAAAAATAGAGCTTTTTGGTCTAAACTCCACTCGCCGTGTTTGGAGGAAGAAGAAGGATGAGTACAACCCCAAGAACACCATCCCAACTGTGAAGCATGAAGGTGGAAACATCATTCTTTGGGGATGCTTTTCTGCAAAGGGGACAAGACGACTGCACCGTATTGAGGGGAGGATGGATGGGGCCATGTATCGCGAGATCTTGGCCAACAACCTCCTTCCCTCAGTAAGAGCATTGAAGATGGGTTGTGGCTGGGTCTTCCAGCATGACAACGACCCGAAACACACAGCCAGGGCAACTAAGGAGTGGCTCCGTAAGAAGCATCTCAAGGTCCTGGAGTGGCCTAGCCAGTCTCCAGACCTGAACCCAATAGAAAATCTTTGGAGGGAGCTGAAAGTCCGTATTGCACAGCAACAGACCCAAAACCTGAAGGATCTGGAGAAGGCTGTATGGAGGAGTGGGCCAAAATCCCTGCTGAAGTGTGTGCAAACCTGGTCAAGACCTACAGGAAACGTATGATCTCTGTAATTGCAAACAAAGGTTTCTGTACCAAATATTAAGTTCTGCTTTTCTGATGTATCAAATACTTATGTCATGCAATAAAATGCAAATTAATTACTTAAAAATCATGTGAAAATCTATGTGATTTTCTGGATTTTTGTTTTAGATTCCGTCTCTCACAGTTGAAGTGTACCTATGATAAAAATTACAGACCTCTACATGCTTTGTAAGTAGGAAAACCTGCAAAATCGGCAGTGTATCAAATACTTGTTCTCCCCACTGTATCTGGTTTGCAAACTGGGAGTCAATATTGGATAAACGCATTCTGTTATAAACTGCATTCAAACAGGAACACCGCAATTAATATAACCGCATTCTGTCGGTTTCTGTGGCTACACTAGAGAACATGGCAAAATATTATTTGTGTCGAACTAACATCCAAAAGTTGTATCATAAGAAGTACTTCTAAAACCCATTTTGAATTTAACACCATAACCCAGAGTAGTACAAATTCAATCAATGAGTATTCTGTAGAGCCAGGTAAAGGCAATAGTATGGTGAACACATTGAGAAGGACAGTGAAGAACTGTTCTGGGTGAGAACTTACGATTGACAATGTTGTATTTCTGAGAGATAAGTTTCGCCTGCAGACTCTTGCCTGAGCCAGGGGGACCAAAGAGGAGGACCCTGGGGGTGTGAGGGGCCACAGAACGGTGCTGCGAGAGAATGTACGTCAGCACTGTGGGAGGAGACAACAATCACAGCATTAAAGTGGCAATCCAGTTCTCCTTTTCACCTCATTTAACACCTGATTTACTTAACAAAAGGCACATCTCAATTGGTGGTCCAGGTATGTCATTATAGCACACCTTTAGTGTGTGTACTTTGCTGTATTTATACTTCAACAGTAAAAGTAAAAAAATATCTGGAGGACGTCTTTAAAAATGTCTTTAACTGAATCCTACCCACCGGGCAAAAACTTGTTGAATCAACATTATTTCCACGTCATTTCAACCAATGTGGAAAACTGATAGGATTTGAAAAAAGTCCTTAACGTAAGGGAATTTCATTGTTTTTTCACAAAATTTTTACCTAAATCCAATGACATGGTGAATATTTTGGGGGGGATTTCACGTTGAATTCACGTTAGTTGACAACTCAACCAAATGTAAATCAAAACTAGACGTTGAACTGACATCGGTGCCCAGTAGGTATTCATTCAGAAACTGTTTGCTTGGTCCTTTGTGGTAGATTCTGTAGTGAGGGGATTCACATAAGTATTTTATTTTAAGTTATCCACATAGCCTAGTAAGCATATGTTACCTTGGAAACAGTGTTAAAGTTGTAAGTGATGGTTAACAAGAATATCAGTTAATTCATATTGAAAATGTATAAACTACAGCTAAATTCTGTTCGTCTCTAGTGTGTCACAATTTTAATTATGTTATTTTAGCAAAAGCATTGCTAAGAGCTTTCTTTACCAAATGCTATCTATCTTGATATAGGAATAGCTAGAACACTTACACATATTTATTAAAACATTTGCAGGATGAAACCATCTTGTTTTCAAAAGTGTCCAAATAAAAACCCAAATTAACAAACAATACTTAGTAACAAGAATATGGCAACTACTGTCTAATAATAATAATAATAACAATAAAATAATAAATTAATAACAAAAAAGTTGTTATACAACTACTAATAGGCCTACAGCTAATAAAACTACTGCTAATATCACTAATAAGACATACAGTGGTGTCCGAAATTATTAACACCCTTGATAAAGATGAGCTATAATGACGGTATAAAATAAATAATTCAAATACTGAGCTATATTGTATGCAAAAAAAAGGGGAAATTCTATTCTACTATACTAATACAATTGCTCAGAGAAAGAGATTTTGTTTAACAAGTAATACTTTTTTTCTCACAAAGGTAGGGGTCAAAATTATTGACACCCCTAAAGATCCTTATAAATAAATAAAATAGTCAAAAGTTTAGTACTTGGTCCCATATTCTTAGCATGCAATGACTACATCAAGCTTGTGACTCTAAAAACGTGTAGGATGCATTTGCAGTTCGTTTTGGTTGTGTTTCAGATTATTTTGTGCCCAATATACATTTATGGTAAATAATGTATTGTGTCATTTTGGAGTCACTTTTATTATAAATAAGAACAGAATATGTTTCTAAACACTTTTACATTAATGTGGATGCTACCATGGTTACGGAGTCAAAGATCATACCCAAAAGACATGTTAACCTCCCAACATTACCAATTACAGGGGAGGTTAGCATGTCTTGGGGGTATGATCTTGTTTAGAAACATATTCTATTCTTATTTACAATAAAAGTGACTCTAAAATGACAGAATACATTATTTACCATTCATTTCTATTGGGCAAAAAATAACCTGAAACACAACCAAAACTAACTGCAAATACATACACGTTTGTAGAGTCACAATCTTGATGTAGTCATTGTGTGCTAGGAATATGGGAACCAAATTCTAAACTTTTTGAGAAAAATACATTACTTGTTAAACAAAATCTCTTTCACTGTACATACATATTTACAAATATCTCATCATAGCGATGTTCGTAATAGTTAAAAACACAAACAGTTTGTTCTTAACATTTGAAAAAGTGCTTTCTTAAAATCAATGTGTGATTTTAATGTCCTGATTTCTATAGGTAAATTATTCCAGTCAATTGGGCCTTTGTATCTGAAAGATCTTAATCCAACCTCATGATGTACCCTTGGAATATGTCATTGCTGCTGTTGTCGAAAAGAGTACTGTGAGTCTTAATATATACAGGGAAATGTAAGTTGATACATTTAAAAAATAAATAGTTACCAATGGAGTTGTCTTCTGTTTGGGAGTGACAGCCAATTTAGTGATTCATACATTTTGCAATGATGCGTCTTATAATGGCATCCAAGAATGAATCTGCAAAGATTGTTATAAATTACATCTAATTTGCAAAGTATGGTCTTGGTTGTGTCTTTATGAAGAGGGTTCACTCGGGTACATTTCCATACAAAAGGTATGACACTATTTACCAATGCAAAAATAATACTAAACCGTTAATCTCTTGTGCTTCACAATAACTCTGTTAGATTACTTGCACTGTCATGTATGATCACATAAGCCAGTTGTTAACGTGCAAAGGGTATCACAGTGCATTGGGGCTGGTTGTGGTAAATTCAATTGATTGGACATGATTTGGAAAGGCACACACCTGTCTATATAAGGTCCCACAGTTGACAGTGCATGTCAGAGCAAAAACCAAGCCATGAGGTTGAAGGAATTGTCTGTAGAGCTCCGAGACAGGATTGTGTCAAGGCACAGATCTGGGGAAGGGTACCAAAAATGTCTGCAGCATTGAAGGTTCCCCAAGAACAATGGCCTCTATCATTCTTAAATGGAAGAAGTTTGGAACCACCAAGACTTTTCCTAGAGCTGGCCGCCCGGCCAAACTGAGCAATCGGGGGAGAAGGGCCTTGGTCAGGGAGGTGACCAAGAATGCGATGGTCACTCTGACAGAGCTCCAGAGTTCCTCTGTGGAGATGGGAGAACCTTCCAGAAGGACAACCATCTCTGCAGCACTCCACCAATCAGGCCTTTATGGTAGAGTGGCCAGACAGAAGCCACTCCTCAGTAAAAGGCATGACAGCCCACTTGGAGTTTGCCAAAAGGCACCTAGACTCTCAGACAATGAGAAACAAGATTTTCTGGTCTGATGAAACCAAGATCTCTTTAGCCTGACTGCCAAGCGTCACGTATGGAGGAAACCTGGCACCATCCCTACTGTGAAGCATGGTGGTGGCAGCATCATGCTGTGGGGATGTTTTTCAGCGGCAGGGACTGGGAGACTAGTCAGGATCGAGGGAAAGATGAACGGAGCAAAGTACAGAGAGATCCTTGATGAAAACCTGCTCCAGAGCGCTCAGGACCTCAGACTGGGGCGAAGGTTCACCTTCCAACAGGACCCTAAGCACACAGCCAAAACAACGCAGGAGTGGCTTCGGGACAAGTCTCTGAATGTCCTTGAGTGGCCCAGCCGGAGCCCAGACTTGAACCCGATCAAACATCTCTGGAAATACCTGAAAATAGCTGTGCAGCGACGCTCCCCAGCCAACCTGACAGAGCTTGAGAGGATCTGCAGAGAAGAATGGGAGAAGCTCCCGAAATATTGGTGTGCCAAGCTTGTAGCGTCATACTCAAGAAGACTCGAGGCAGTAATCGCTGCCAAAGGTGCTTCAACAAAGTGCTGAGTAAAGGGTCTGAATACTTATGTAAATGTCATATTTCCGTTTTAAAAAAATTATAAATGTGCAAAAATTGATAAAAACCTGTTTTTGCTTTGTCATTATAATATAATAATAATAATATGCCATTTAGCAGACACTTTTATCCAAAGCGACTTAGTCATGCATGCATACATTTTTGTGTATGGGTGGTCCCGGGGATCGAACCCACTACCTTGGCGTTACAAGCGCCGTGCTCTACCAGCTGAGCTACAGAGGACCTTATGGGGTATTGTGTGTAGATTGATGAGGGGAAAATACGATTTAATCCATTTTAGAATAAGGCTGTAACATAACAAAATGTGAATATTTTCCAAATGCACTGTATGCCCAAAAATGGACGTAGAAACTAAGGATTCTAGTTGAAAGCAAATTTCCTGCAATTCTACACATTTTGCCATGGGGCGGAGTGAAAATTTTACCGTTTAAAGCTAATTTCCAAAATGTGCAGTTTCACAAATATACTCCTGAATGCATCATTTTTATTTGGGTGATTGCTACTTCTCCAAGATGATCTTATTTACAATTATATACAGTGGCCTGCGAAAGTATTCACCCCCCTTGGCATTTTTCCTATTTTGTTGCCTTACAACCTGGAATTAAAATGTATTTTTGGGGGGGGTTGTATCATTTCATTTACACAACATGCTTACCACTTTGAAGATGCAAAATATTTTTTTTATTGTGAAACAAACAAGAAATAAGACAAAAAAACAGAAAACTTGAGCGTGCATAACTATTCACCCCCCCCCACCCAAAGTCAATACTTTGTAGAGACACCTTTTGCAGCAATTACAGCTGCAAGTCTCTTGGGGGTATGTCTCTATAAGCTTGGCACATCTAGCTACTGGGATTTTTGCCCATTCTTCAAGGCAAAACTGCTCCAGCTCCTTCAAGTTGGATGGGTTCCGCTGGTATACAGCAATCTTTAAGTCATACCACAATTCAATTGGATTGAGGTCTGGGCTTTGACTAGGCCATTCCAAGACATTTAAATGTTTCCCCTTAAACCACTCGAGTGTTGCTTTAGCAGTATGCTCAGGGTCATTCGCCTGCTGGAAGGTGAACCTCTGTCACAGTCTCAAATCTCTGGAAGACTGAAACAGGTTTCCCTCAAGAATTTCCCTGTATTTAGTGCCATCCATCATTCCTTCGATTCGGATCCCAGTCCCTGCCGGTGTTCTCGGGGTGATGAGAGGTGTTGGGTTTGCGCCAGACATAGCATTTTTTTCCTTGATGGCCAAAAAGCTCAATTTTAGTACCTTCTTCCATATGTTTGGGGAGTCTCCCACATGCCTTTTGGCGAACACTAAACTTGTTTGCTTATTTTTCTCTTTAAGCAATGGCTTTTTTCTGGCCACTCTTCCGTAAAGCCCGGCTCTGTGGAGTATCGGCTTAAAGTGGTCCTATGGACAGATACTCCAATCTCCGCTGTGGAGCTTTGCAACTCCTTCAGGGTTATCTTTGGTCTCTTTGTTGCCTCTCTTATTAATGCCCTCCTTGCCTGGTCTGTGAGTTTTGGTGGGCGGCCCTCTCTTGGCAGGTTTGTTGTGGTGCCATATTCTTTCCATTTTTTAATAATGGATTTAATGGTGCTCCGTGGGATGTTCAAAGTTTCTGATATTTTTTTATAACCCAACCCTGATCTGTACTTCTCCACAACTTTGTCCCTGACCTGTTTGGAGAGCTCCTTGGTCTTCATGGTGCCGCTTGCTTGGTGGTGCCCCTTGCTTAGTGGCCTTTCAAAACAGGTGTATATATACTGAGATCATGTGACAGATCATGTGACACTTGGATTGCACACAGGTGGACTTTATTTAACTAATTATGTGACTTCTGAAGGTAATTGGTTGCACCAGATCTTTTTTAGGGGCTTCATAGCAAAGGGGGTGAATACATATGCACGCACCACTTTTCCATTATATATAAAAAATAAAATAAAAAAAACACGTGAGGTAAAATCTGTCGAGAAGTGAGCTGGCAACCGGAGGGTTGCTGGTATCAAATCCTAGATGACATTGCCTGTTGTTGTGCCCTTGAGCAAAGCACTTTTCCCCCACAACAGACGCCAGTGTGGCAGCCCCCGTACCTCTCCAAAACCTGTATGTGTATCTGTTGCAGGGGTTGGGCTAAAGTAATCTTAAGAGAGAGAATGACAGAACTATTTTGTTGAGTGGTGGTGATGTTCAGATAGGTTGTATTCAGATGGCTTTAATGGTGTGGCTGAAGGCTGCGACGGCTGCTCCTCCTCCCCTCGCCTGTAGCTTTGCCTTAGGCAAACTCCCCGTCCGTCAGCTGGGCTGACAGGGAGGGGAATCAAAACCTCCCCATGGGTCTGCTGCAGTGCAGTGCTGACATCCCGCCAGAAGGGGTGGCCGTGGAGGGGCAGCAGGCCACTGAGAGTGTGTCCCAAATAGCACCCTATTCCCTATATATTGGGCTCTGGTCAAAAGTAGTGCACTATATAGGGAATAGGGTGCCATTTGGGACGCAGACTGAGATTATGTGGTGATGAGGCTTTGATGCTGTGCAACAAAGCCTCTGAAGCCCGTGATGGGAGGGACTGTCATCCATTGTCAATCACTGTCTCAGGTAGCCAAACATCAAAGAGAGGGGATTTATGTAAGTCATTACTATACTGAACAAAAATATGCAACAAATTCATTGATTTTACTGAGTTACAGTTCATATGAGGAAATCAGTCAATTGAAATAAATGCATTAGGCCCTAATCTATGGATTTCACATGACTGGGAATACAGATATGCATCTGTTGGTCACAGATACCCCCTCACAATGGGCCTTATGATCTCGTCACAGTATTTTTGTGCATTCAAATTGGCATCGATAAAATGCAATTGTGCTCGTTGTCCGTAGCTTATGCTTGCCCATACCATACCATACCCCACCGCCACCATGGGGCACTCTGTTCACAACGTTGACATCAGCAAACCGCTCGCCCACACAACGCTATACACGTGGTCTGTGTTTGTGAGGATGTACTGCCAAATTCTCTAAAATGACGTTGGAGGCGGCTTATGGTAGAGCAATTAACATTAAACTCTCTGGCAACAGCTCTGGTGGACATTCCTGCAGTCAGCATGCCAATTTCATGCTCCCTCAAAACTTGAGACATCTGTAGCATTGTGTTGTGTGACAAAACTGCACATTTTAGAGTGGCCTTTTATTGACCCCAGCACAGATTATTGATATGCCACACCTGTCAGGTGGATGGATTATGGATAATTTCTGGGATCTTTTATTTCAACTCATGAAACATAGGACCAACACTTCACATGTTGCGTTTGAATTTTTATCAGTGTACTAACTGTGGAATATGGAGATATGTCAGTCAGTGAGTATTTTCTTCTGGTTTAAAGAAGTGTGTCCTTCTATATGGCTGCGTCCTTCGTCCCAATAATATATACACTCTTTCACTACTTCCCACAAACCTAAAAGTATTGGATTGGTGAAGGCATGGGCTAGAGTTTCCACCATGTTTCTTATCCCAGTCATTTCCTTGGAGTGAAAGGAACAAGTGCACACTTTAGGAGGAAGGACAGATAATTGGAAACATGTAGCATATTATGTTTGAAGTTGGACCCCTTAGAGTGGTGTTCTAGTCTGCAGTCATACACCCCAGCTAGCACATAACGTTCTGAGAACCATGTATTTCTTAGAGCTTGGTGAGAGCGTGGTTGTCCTATGGTTATTTTGCATACAACCTTTCCACAACTTTCTGGGAATGGTGCAGGATAGTTGCTTGGCTTTGGAACATTCTCAGCACATTTACAGAACTTGACAAAAAAAACATAATTTTCTTAGTATTTCATTACTTTAACATGTTTTTAGAAATGTTTGTAAATGTATTCAAAATGAAATACAGAAATATCTCATTTACATAAGTATTTGCTATGACACTCCAATTTGAGCTCAGGTGCATCCAATTTCCTTTGATACAACTTGATTGGAGTTCACATGTGGCCAATTGAATTGTTTGGACATGATTTAGAAAGAAACACACGTCTATATAAGGTCCCACAGTTAACAGTGCATGTCAGAGCAAAAACTATACCAAGTCTAAGGAACTGTCCGTAGATCTCCGAGATAGAATTGTGATGAGGCATATATCTGGGGAAGGGTATAAAACCATTTCCAAGAGTACAGTGGTCTCCATCATTGGGAAATTGAAAAATGTGGAACTACCTAGACTCTGCCTAGAGCTGGTCGTCCGACCAAACGGGCAAGAAGGACCTTGGTCAGGGAGGTGACCAATGACCACTCTGAATGAACTACAGAGTTCCTTGGCTGAGATGGGAGAACCTGTCAGAAGGACAACAGTCTCTATAGCACCAATCTGGGCTTTATGGGAGAGTGGCCAGACGTGCCTTTTTCTCAGGAGTGGCTACCATGGCAGCACGCCTGGGGTTTGCAAAAATGCACGTGAAAGACTCTGAGATCATAAGGCAAAAGACTGTGGTCTGATGAGAAAAACCAACAACTATTTCGCCTGAATGCAAAGTGCTATGTCTGGAGAAAACAAGGCACAGCTCATCACCCGTCTAACACCATCCCTACCGTGAAGCATGTTGGTTGCAGCATCATGCTATGGGGATGCTTTTCAGCGGCAGGGACTGGGAGACTGGTAAGGATAGAAGGAACAATGAATGGAGCCAAATACAGGCAAATCCTTGATGAGAACCTGCTTCAGAGTGCAAACGACCTTAGACTGGGGGCGAAGATTTACGTTCCAACAGGACAATGACCCTAAGCATACAGCCAAAGCAACACTGGAATGGCTCCAGAACAAGAAAGTAAAAGTCCTTTAGTGGCCCAGCTAAAGCACAGACTTGAATCCCATTGAAAATCGGTGGAAAGACTTGAAGATTGCTGTTTATCGCCGCTCCCTGTCTAACTTAATAGAGCTTGAGAAATTGGGCAAGGAAGAATGGGAGAAAATCCCCAAATCCAGATGTGCAAGACAACTCAAAGCTGTAATCGCCGCCAAAGGTGTTTCTACAAAGTATTGACTCAGAGGTGTGAATACTTATGTAAATGATACATTTCTGTATTTCATTTTCAATAAATGTGCAAACATTTCTAAAAACATGTTTTTACCTCGTCATTATGGGATATTGTGTGTAGATGTGTGAGATTTTTAAAAAAATTTAATCCATTTTGAATTCAGGCTGTAACACAACAAAATGTGGAATAGGTCAAGGGGTATGAATACTTTCTCAAGGCACTGTAAATACGTCACTCATTGCTTCAAGCCACACCTCACCACACCAACCAAAAGGGAGCAAACTAACCTCAAAGTCTGTTCAAGAACGTACAAGAACGTTTTGGGGAAACGTGTCGTTCAGTACAAACCGTTCTGTAACGTAGCAAACGTTCAATCGAACTGAACGCACCTCTGATCTTAATGAGTGCTTGTTTCATTTGAAATGGGGTATGTTTGAATAGACTAAAATGAACAGCTTTGTATGTGTAAAAATACATGACATGCTAGCTCCATCCTGGTGGCGCAGTGGACTAATTCCATGGATAGAGAACACAAGATTATAACTCACTGATGCTGTGTCACAATGATTAATGCCTAAGGACATTTATTTTCATTTGTCCAATCTGTGCTTGGAGTTTAAAAAAAGTGAACCCAAAATAAGCTAGCAGTGTTATTAAAAGTCTTATTGAAACAAAAACCTCCAAATCATTTTTATTGTATTTTACCCCCTTTTCTCCCCAATTTCGTGATATCCAATTGGTAGTTACAGTATTTTTCCATCGCTGCAACTCCCGTATGGACTCGGGAGAGGCGATGGTCGAGAGCCATGCATCCTCTGAAATTGATCCTGCCAAGCCGCACTGCTTCTTGACACACTGCTCGCTTAACCCGGAAGCCAGCCGCAACAATGTGTCGGAGGAAACACAGTACAACTGGCGACCGTGTCAGCATGCATGCGCCCGGCCACAGGAGTCGCTAGAGTGTGATGGGACAAGGACATCCCGGCCGGCCAAACCCTCCCCTAACCCGGATGACGATGGGCCAATTGTGCGGCGCCTCATAGGTCTCCCGGTCGCGGCCGGCTGTGACACAGCCTGGGAACTAACCAGGGTCTGTAGTGACGCCTCTAGCACTGCGATGCAGTGCCTTAGACCGCTGTGCCACTCAGGAGGCCCCCAACCTATCATTTCTGTTCTCAGAGCGTTAATGAAACCTCCCAGGAAAACATTCAAGGAACCAGAGTAAAACATTCTCAGAACCTCCCTTCAAACCAAAAACATACTTTCCCAGAACTTCCAAGGAACCAAATGTGCTAGCTGGGAGTGGTCTTCTCACCCTGGTCAAACACGTCCACATGTGGTTGGTCGGCGTCAATGCTCTTCAGGCAGTTGAGGTAGGTCTTGCGCAGGGCGTGAACCTTGCGATGGTGCTGCATCAGCTGGGCGACAAGCTGCTCCTCTGACACAGCCTTCTGGCGCTCTAACCGCTGCACCACTTCCTTGTCCTCGGGCCAAATGAACGTGATATGGTACACATCTACACAGGTAATACAGAGAAGATCAGGGTCCGTATTCATCAAGCGTCTCAGAGTAAGAGTGCTGAACTAGTATCAGGTCCCTCCTATCCATTTAATCAAATGTACTATGATCTAGAAGGCAAACTGATCCTAGCACTCCTACCCTGAGACATTTTACGAATACAGGCCCTGATGGCCCCATGACAGGGAGGGTGGGATCTATTGATCTCTTCTTATTCATAGACTTCACGTTCTAGATATATCCCCACTGTAAAATATCCCCACCATAAATTATAAAGGAAACGGCAACATAAAGTGGATCATTTACAGTTGGCTGGGTTTTCCGTGCATCGGCAGGACAGAACAGCTACGTCTGGTAAGACTACGGGTGGGGGTGTGTGTCTATTTGTCAATAACAGCTGGTGCGCAATGTCTAATACTAAGGTAGTTTCGAGGTATTGCTCGCCTGAGGTAGAGTACCTCATGATAAGCTGTAGACCACACTATCTACCAAGAGAATTTTCATCTATATTTTTCGTAGCCATCTATTTACCACCACAAACCGACACTGGCACTAAGGCCGCACTCAACGAGCTGTATAAGGCCATAAGCAAACAAGAAAATGCTCTTCCAGAAGCGGCGCTCCTAGTGGCCGGGAACTTTAATGCAGGCAAACTTAAATCCGTTTTACCTCATTTCTACCAGCATGTCATATGTGCAACAAAATAAAAAGTAAAACTCTAGACCACCTTTACTCCACACACAGAGACGTGAACAAAGCTCTCCCTCGCCCTCCATTTGGAAAATCTGACCATAATTCTATCCTCCTGATTCCTGCTTACAAGCAAAAACTAAAGCAGGAAGTACCAGTGACTCGCTCAATACGGAAGTGGTCAGATGACGCGGATGCTACGCTACAGGACTGTTTTGCTAGCACAGACTGGAATATGTTCCGGGATTCATCCAATGGCATTGAGGAATATACCACGTCAGTCAACGGCTTCATCAATAAGTGCATCGACGACGTCATCCCCACAGTGACCGTACATATCCCAACCAGAAGCCATGGATTACAGGCAACATCCACACCGAGCTAAAGGCTAGAGCTGCCGCTTTCAAGGAGCGAGACACTAATCCAGACGCTTATAACAAATCCCGCTATGCCCTCAGACGAACCATCAAACAGGCAAAGCGTCAATACAGGACTAAGACTAAATCCTACTACACCGGCTCTGACGCTCGTCAGATGTGGCAGGGCTTGCAAACTACGGACTACAAAGGGAAACACAGCCGCGAGCTGCCCAGTGACGCGAGCCTACCAGATGGGCTAAATACGTTTTATGCTCGCTTCGAGGCAAGCAACACTGAAGCATGCATGAGAGCACTAGCTGTTCCGGACGACTGTGTGATCAAGCTCTCCGTAGCCGATGTGAGCAACACCTTTAAACAGGTGAACATTCACAAGGCCGCGGGGCCAGACGGATTACCAGGACGTGTACTCAGAGCATGCGCGGACCAACTGGCAAGTGTCTTCACTGACATTTTCAACCTCTCCCTGACCGAGTCTGTAATATCTACATGTTTCAAGCAGACCACCACAGTCCCTGTGCCCAAGAAAGCGAAGGTAACCTGCCTTTTCCCCCTCAGGTGACTGAAAAGATTTGGCATGGGTCCCCAGATCCTCAAAAAGTTCTACAGCTGCACCATGGAGAGCATCCTGACCGGTTGCATCACCGCTTGGTATGGCAACTGCTCGGCATCCGACCGTAAGGCGCTACAGAGGGTAGTGCGTACGGCCCAGTACATCACTGGGGCCAAGCTTCCTGACATCCAGGACCTATATACTAGGCGGTGTCAGAGGAAGGCCCCAAAAAATGGTACATTGACTCAGTACAGGTACCCCCTGTATATACAGTGAGGGGAAAAAGTATTTGATCCCCTGCTGATTTTGTACGTTTGCCCACTGACAAAGACATGATAAGTCTATAATTTTAATGGTAGGTTTATTTGAACAGTGAGAGACAGAATAACAAAAAAAGGATCCAGAAAAACGCATGTCAAAAATGTTATGAATTGATTTGCATTTTAATGAGGGAAATAAGTATTTGACCCCTCTGCAAAACATGACTTAGTACTTGGTGGCAAAACCCTTGTTGGCAATCACACAGGTCAGACGTTTCTTGTAGTTGGCCACCAGGTTTGCACACATCTCAGGAGGGATTTTGTCCCACTGCTCTTTGCAGATCTTCTCCAAGTCATTAAGATTTCGAGACTGACGTTTGGCAACTCGAACCTTCAGCTCCCTCCACAGATTTTCTATGGGATTAAGGTCTGGAGAATGGCTAGGCCACTCCAGGACCTTAATGTGCTTCTTCTTGAGCCACTCCTTTGTTGCCTTGGCCGTGTGTTTTGGGTCATTGTCATGCTGGAATACCCATCCACGACCCATTTTCAATGCCCTGGCTGAAGGAAGGAGGTTCTCACCCAAGATTTGACGGTACATAGCCCCGTCCATCGTCCCTTTGATGCGGTGAAGTTGTCCTGTCCCCTTAGCAGAAAAACACCCCCAAAACATAATGTTTCCACCTCCATGTTTGACGGTGGGGATGGTGTTCTTGGGGTCATAGGCAGCATTCCTCCTCCTCCAAACACGGCGAGTTGAGTTGATGCCAAAGAGCTTGATTTTGGTCTCATCTGACCACAACACTTTCACCCAGTTCTCCTCTGAATCATTCAGATGTTCATTGGCAAACTTCAGACGGGCCTGTATATGTGCTTTCTTGAGCAGGGGGACCTTGCGGGTGCTGCAGGATTTCAGTCCTTCACGGCGTAGTGTGTTACCAATTGTTTTCTTGGTGACTATTGTACCAGCTGCCTTGAGATCATTGACAAGATCCTCCCGTGTAGTTCTGGGCTGATTCCTCACCGTTCTCATGATCATTGCAACTCCACGAGGTGAGATCTTGCATGGAGCCCCAGGCCCAGGGAGACAGTTATTTTGTGTTTCTTCCATTTGCGAATAATCACACCAACTGTTGTCACCTTCTCACCAAGCTGCTTGGCGATGGTCTTGTAGCCCATTCCAGCCTTGTGTAGGTCTACAATCTTGTCCCTGACATCCTTGGAGAGCTCTTTGGTCTTGGCCATGGTGGAGAGTTTGGAATCTGATTGATTGATTGCTTCTGTGGACAGGTGTCTTTTATACAGGTAACAAGCTGAGATTAGGAGCACTCCCTTTAAGAGTGTGCTCCTAATCTCAGCTTGTTACCTGTATAAAAGACACCTGGGAGCCAGAAATCTTTCTGATTGAGAGGGGGTCAAATACTTGTTTCCCTCATTAAAATGCAAATCAATTTATAACATTTTTGACATGTGTTTTTCTGGATTTTTGTTGTTGTTATTCTGTCTCTCACTGTTCAAATAAACCTACCATTAAAATTATAGACTGATAATTTCTTTGTCAGTGGGCAAACGTACAAAATCAGCAGGGGATCAAAAAAAATTTTTCCCTCACTGTAGCCTCTTTATTGTTATTTTATAGTGTTATTTTTATTTGTTTAATTTTCTTTAACTTTAGTTTATTTAGTAAATATTTTTCTCTATTTTCTTAAAACTGCGTTGTTGGTTAAGGGGTTGTAAGTAAGCATTTCACGGTAAGGGCTACACCTGTTGTATTCGGCGCATGTGACAAATACAATTGTATTTGATTAATAGGGCGTTTGGCCACCATGAGCCAGAACAGCTTCAATGCACCTTGGCATAGATTCTACAAGTTCCCGGTACTCTATTGGAGGGATGAGACGCCATTCTTCCACAAGAAATTATATAATTTGGTGTTTTGTTAATGGTGGCGGAAAACATTGTCTCAGGTGCCTCTCCAGCAACTCCCCTAAGTGTTCAACTGGGTTGAGATCTGGTAACTGAGACGGCCATGGCATATGGTTTACATCATTTTCATGCTCATCAAACCATTCAGTGACCACTCGTGCCCTGTGGATGGGGGCATTGTCATCCTATGGGGGAATAGCCGTAGCCAGAATAATAGCCAAAATAATGGCCTGCCCAGCATTTTTATACATGACCCTAAGCATGATGGGATGTTAATTGCTTAATTAACTCAGGAACCACAGCTGTGTGGAAGCACCTGCTTTCAATACACTTTGTATCCCTCATTTACTTAAGTGTTTCCATTATTTTGGCAGTTACCTGTATATCCTCATTGTATATCAGCCTGTACTCCAGAGTTTTATGTTTCCTGTATTTATATAGTATATTCTGTATGTTGACTTTGTGTCTATATTCTGTCTATTGCTGGCAGCACCTATTCACTAAGTCAAATTCTGGGTATGTGTAAATGTACTTAGCGAATAAAGTGATTCTGATTCTGAAAATGTTTAGATAGGTACCAATCATTTCGTCAGGTTGACAAACAAATTCTGTATGAGTGAAAAATAAAATGTGTGTAAGTATTTGGACAGCTTTGAAAAAAACCTCATTTGCACCATGCATGTAATTCTACTGACAAAGGCTAAATGAGACCTCGGCACAATGAAAAGAGAGATGGCAATTATTTTCATCGAGTACATCCTCACCATAACAAACCAACCTACTGGGAGCAGAGGCTTTGTTATACTCTAAGGACTTGTTCTCCTGGAGAGCCATGGTGGGGATTCAGCAAACAAATCAAATCACATTTAATTTGTCACATGCGCCGAATACAACAGGTATAGATAGACCTTACCGTGAAATGCTTACTTATACATGCCCTTAACCAACAATGCAGTTCAAGAAATAGAGTTAATAAAAATAAAAATAAAAGTAACACAATAAAATAACAATAACGAGGCTATACAGGGGGTACTGGTACTGAGTCAATGTGCGGGGGTACAGGTTAGTCAAGCTAATTTGTACATATAGGTAGGGGTAAAGTGACTATGCATAGATAATAAACAGTGAGTAGCAGCAGCGTAAAAACAAAAGGGGGGGGGTCAATGTAAATAGTCCGGGTGGCCATTTGATTAATTGTTCAGCAGTCTTATGGCTTGGGGGTAGAAGCTGTTAATGAGCCTTTTGGATCTAGACTTGGTGCTCCGGTAACGCTTGCCGTGCGGTAGCAGAGAGAACAGTCTATGACTTGGGTGACTGGAGTCTTTGACAATTTTTTGGGGCCTTCCTCTGACACCGCCTAGTATATAGGTCCTGGATGTCAGGAAGCTTGGCCCCAGTGATGTACTGGGCCGTACACACTACCCTCTGTAGTGCCTTACGGTCGGATGCCGAGCAGTTGCCATACCAGGAGGTGAAGCAACCGGTCAGGATGCTCTTGATGGTGCAACTGTAGAACTTTTTGAGGATCTGGGGAACCATGCCAAATCTTTTCAGTCTCCTGAGTGGGAAAAGGTGTTGTCGTGCCCTCTTCACGACTGTCTTGGTGTGTTTGGACCATGATAGTTTGTTGGTGATGTGGACACCAAGGAACTTGAAACTCTCGACCCGCTCCACTACAGCCCCGTCGATGTTAATGGGGGCCTGTTCTGCCCTCCTTTTCCTGTAGTCCACGATCAGCTCCTTTGTCTTGCTCACATTGAGGGAGAGGTTGTTGTCCTGGCACAACACTGCCAGGTCTCTGACCTCCTCCCTATAGGCTGTCTCATCGTTGTCGGTGATCAGGCCTACCACCGTTGTGTCGTCAGCAAACTTAATGATGGTATTGGAGTCGTGCTTGGCCTCGCAGTCGTGGATGAACAGGGAGTACAGGAGGGGACTAAGCACGCACCCATGAGGGGCCCCCGTGTTCAGGATCAGTGTGGCAGATGTGTTGTTGCCTACCCTTACCACCTGGGGGCGGCCCGTCCGGATGTCCAGGATCCGGGGGCGGCCCGTCCGGATGTCTAGGATCCAGTTGCAGAGGGTGTTTAGTCCCAGGGTTAGTGATGAGCTTTGTGGGCACTATGGTTTTGAACGCTGAGCTGTAGTCAATGAACAGCATTCTCACATAGGTGTTCCTTTTGTCCAGGTGGGAAAGGGCAGTGTGGAGTGCGATTGAGTCATCTGTGGATCTGTTGGGGCGGAATGTGAATTGAAATGAGTCTAGGGTTTCCGGGATGATGGTGTGAGTCATGACCAGCCTTTCAAAGCACTTCATGGCTACCGACGTGAGTGCTACGGGGCGGTAGTCATTTAGGCAGGTTACCTTCGCTTTCTTGGGCACAGGGACTATGGTGGTCTGCTTGAAACATGTAGATTTTACAGACTCTGTCAGGGAGAGGTTGAAAATGTCAGTGAAGACACTTGCCAGTTGGTCTGTGCATGCTCTGAGTACACATCCTGGTAATCGTCCGGAACAGCTGGTGCTCTCATCCATGCTTTAGTGTCGCTTGCCTGGAAGCGAGCATAAAAGGCATTTAGCTCATCTGGTAGGCTCGCATCACTGGGCAGCTCGCGGCTGGGTTTCCCTTTGTGGTCCGTAATAGTTTGCAAGCACTGCCACATCCGACGAGCGTCAGAGCCGGTGTAGTAGGATTCAATCTTAGTCATGTATTGACGCTTTGCCTGTTTGATGGTTCGTCTGAGGGCATAGAGGGATTTCATATAAGCGTCCGGATTAGTGTCCCGCTCCTTTAAAGCCAGGTTCAATATGGATGTGGGTTTGTGGTTATGATGTGCATTATAAAAAAGGAATGTCTCTCTGTATCACTTTCACCCCCCTCCCCTCGGTAGAATCGGGCACTCTGGAATACATCTTCAGTGTTCTCCATCTCCACGTCGTCTTACCTCCTGTGACGGGGTCTATTCTCTTGCCCTGACTCCGTTCAATCAGCACTGCATCGGGAGCCTCCAGCAACACTGACAGAGAACACACACATAAACAGTCTCTTCAATACACACACACACTCACACTCTCACACAAATGCGCACACGTACGAACAAACACACGCAACATGGAAATAACCAAACATAAATGGACAACTGAGGTAAACTGATGCACTAACCAACGTGATTTGGGGCAACTCCAGCCTCCTGTAGGGACAGGGCCTCCTCTCGTGTCTGAGGTATCCCCTCCAACACCCAGCCCTGGACACAGAACAAACGACACAAGCACTAAACAACATGGCTCAAACTGGGGTCAAAAGACTACAATATTTCTCATATAGGACATGATGGGGCAGTTTCCTGAAGACTGGACTAAAAAGCAAACTCAGCGGAGAATCTCCATCAAAAAGTATTTCCAGGACTAGGCTTAATCTGTGTCTAGGAAACCGCCCCCATATGTATTATTTATCACATGTATATTAGAAGTGATACAATTATATAAATGATCAAGTATAGTTCCTCTGATGGAGTGGTTTTCTTTTCTCCTGAGATGACACAAAAATCCCAAAATTATTCTCGAGATGATCATTGCCTGATCTGTGGGCCCAAACGACAAGGTTAGCTCTGTGCCCTGTGCTCAATAATTTAAAGAAATAGAATGACTTACTTAGTAATTATATTTCTATGTTTAAAAACATCTCTACAATGGCATATGGCCTTATACAGTAATATGATTACAATGCAATGCATTTCCAATCCACCCTATTTCTATTCAGCGGCCTATTTTGAATATTGATCACTTCGTTTAAACTGTGCCATTCTCTCAGTGTGATAAATAGCTGGTTGTTTAAACAAGTTAGACAAGTCTCCTTATAATGCAGTTAAACCAAGTCCCTGACTGAGACCTTAAGAGTCAATAACTGAATGAATAAATCTCTGTACAAACAGGGAGAGGAAAATAATTGCAGCTTCAAGTAGTGATACAAAAGGTGGGTTAAATTCATAAACCTTGAAAATATGGCTAATTATCCAGTTCCTATCCCCAATTCTCAATTTGCTAGAAAAAGAAACATAAGAAGAAAGAGGCGGCATGCATATCATTCCTTAGCCACAAAAAAACCTCTCTCTCTCTCTCTCTCTAATAGCCTCCTAAATCCCGGGGCTTACAGTGCAATGGAGCTGGAATATAATGATGAGAAAAAGAAACTGGCTCCCTCAAGTGCTTGTTAGGGCCAATTTATTATTTCAATGAATAATCTTCAAATAAATATATAACTATGGCAAACATTTATAGATCTAAGTATTATCAGAGAGCTATGGGGTGTGTTGCCAAGTTTCCGGGCCTGTTTGAAATTCACCTTTGTTTTCCATTTTGATCTTTAACCACTAATCATCGCTTCACCTGAATTACACACACACGCGCTTCTTCCTCCCACTTGCTTTCCCATTAAACCTTTGATTGCCTCTGTGGCAGTGCTGCCCATGAGCTGATAATAGGAGTGGGAGTCCACTTCCATAACCATGAGGATAATTTTGTAATTGGCTCCTCTGTCCTACAATAAAATCACAATGAAAACCAAGACAAACTGGATATACACAGTAGTAGCCTCTTCACTTTAGTAAAGTGACAATGAAAGTGATGCCATGACTAAATCGACTGGATGAAGTGGTAAGCACTGTACATGGTTACAAATGAAAGTGTGTAGTTAGTAAGGTATAGAGAAGTAATGGAGCCCATACAAACAGCAGGTCCAATGAGGAATAGTGGAGAACAGGAAAGATGTCAGACTCCAGCCAGACCAGGCCAGTCCAGGCCAGCTCCTGGTAATACTGTTCTACCTCTCCACCACTCCCTCCCAGGGGAGACTGAGGCCAGGGCTGTGGAGAGGCAGGGTGAGTCACTACCAGCCAGGCCCCCAAAGCTCAGGCCTGATTGAAATTCTAATGAGCTACGTCTCACAACACCCCTCCCCACTCTCCACAGCACACTCCTCCTCCCTGCCTCCATCCCTGGGGTCCCACACAGTGGCTCCCTCCATTCCGTTTCATCCCTACATCAAAAGGGCTCGGCGTTCAGACAGAACCCCAGGACCACAACATCTGCAGTGGGGAGGAGGGAGGGGGGGATGTATCACAGGATGGACACGCATGAAGCAGATGTCACGGGGCGCTCAACAGCAGGCTGGGGGGGGAGTGTAGGGGAGCAGGGCTCGACACGCCAGAAAGAGACCTTAGCAGTCTGCTGTGCTCCCCGCACACAATAGTCCAATGCCCCGGCTCGGAGGCCCGCTAACAAGGCCCTTTTGACAGTACAATCAGCCAATTAGTCACCCTGCTGCTAATCAGCTAATCATTTGTCTGTGTGTTTTTGTTACTAAGGAGCCATGTCCTGCACGGGACACGTCCCATAGGAGGTACGCTAGCTCCATTGTGCATTGGAGGCTTTGTCCATCTATCTATCTACTATGGGATAGCAATGCGGCACCAATTAAAAGGTACTTAGTGCACGACTAGATACTTCTCAATGGAATTGACAGTGTGGTTATTACTGTAATTACCCTACAATGTTATACCAAATCAAAGCTGAATCTAAAAATGGATCTTGAGTACTTGGCAATGGAAAACATCTAAAGCTCACCACACCATGTTACTAAAATAGATCATTTTAAGTACATTGGATCAAAACTTTACTTATTAATGGGCAATTCCATCTAAACCACCAAACAAAAATCTATAACATTGTTGCAACCATTGTTGTAATCAGCCTTTATCCTAATCTTTCAGAGACAGCTTCAACCTTTAATTTTTTCACCATTACCGTAATAGTATAACAGCACAATGGAGTAATGCCATTTAAATGACAAATACATTTTATTACTATACTCTAAAATGTAAATATGTTAAGCGCTGATTAAATGATGAGGTATTTCATCGGTATACATATTCAATTTAGCAGGTCAGACTTTTATACTCCTTGTAATTCCAAGCACTTTGCATTGCACTGTATTGTGCGAAATGTGCTATACAAATAAAGTTTGATTTCAAGAACGGTGCTCTGATTGCTCTTTATTTGTTTTGTTGAACATTCTGTTTTTAGGGTGTTTAAATAATAGCCTAGATCCCATCTTGGGTATTTTTTTTTTTAGTTTAGCACATACTGTATAAACCGTTTTCTAGAAAAGACATGAAATTGACAAAGAAATTAGGCTTATTCTTAGTATTAATGTGTAAAGGTGCATGTTAATAACACATTGGCAAACTTTACAATCTAAATATATATTTTATACGATTTCAAACTAACAAGCCTAAATCTAGAAATTTACAGAAATTAATTTATGTTAATGCAGGCATGATTCACAGAATCCAAGCTGAATATTCACCATTTTTTACATTTTACATTTTAGTCATTTAGCAGACGCTCTTGTCCAGAGCGACTTACAGTTAGTGAGTGCATACATTTTACTTTTTTTATACTGGAATCGAACCCACAACCCTGGCATTACAAATGCCATGCTCTACCAACTGAGCTACATCCCTCCATTTCTTTTAGATATAAAAAAACAGACTTATAGGTGAAAAATAATACTAGAGGTCACTGGCGTACCAGACACCCCCATGCGCCTCTCATCGGTCCATTTTTTTAATTTTATAAATAATATTGACAGTAACCCTTCAAAATGTCCATATGTACTTAGAAGCTAAGTGTTTGTTTCTTGGGCTTCAGGAATGTGACTGAAAAAATGCCCCAGGCCTTGAAAAAGACCAAATGAAACTGATTGAAAGTATAAGGGGATATCGGTGAACAAATGCAGTGGTCCAGGCTACAACGGCGCCAGTGCAATGAGTGGAGCTTACTCAGATATTCAAAAGCACATATCAGACCGAGAGCCTAATGCTTCTTAGGTAGTTCTTTATGAGTTTAAGTTTAGAAAACCATCTCTGCGCAGAAGCGTCAGTTACAGGGATATTTAATTCCGTAGCATCATCAGGGAAACTAGGCTGAAGGGAGTTGTGCTTCAAATACAGCAGATCTGCAACATCTTTAATTGAGCCTCTCATTCTCCTTAATTGCCGGCCTCAACAACATTACGGAAAGAGATTAACTGTATAGGAAGCTCTGGGGACAGGCCGTCTGGATACTGGACGGCCAATAAATTGGCAGATGCAAACAGATTATCATCTTTAGTGGACAACAGTTCTTGACGGCTTGAACAAAGAAAGCGGTTTGCTATTTTGTTCATACTGGCGAATCGGCGTTTGAGTTGTGTGGTTGCAATATCAACAGTCCTTTATCTCTGGTACATCTTGGCATGCATCATTCAAGACTAAGTTTAAATTGTGTGCAGCGCAATGGACATATAATGCACAATGTCTCAGGAAGGACTGTCTGGGTTGGCAATACTCAGTATAAAAAACAGTCGGTCCTGCAACCTGGACCTACAGGCCATGGTGAAAACATTTCCACACAAAAAAGGCCTTCAGGAGACCAGGGGAGTCTCTCAAGTTGGATTTTATTGGATTGTATTTACCTTGAATATTGCAGCCCATTTGTGTAGGCTATTAGCCAGACAAAACACCCTGAGTTCAACAATAAATAGTGGCTGAATTTATCCTCAAGCCGACTACTTTTTTCCTCATTGTTAGGCTATATGATGTGTACTTTTGATAAAAAGTTTATAAATAGCAGCTAAATACGGTATATAGCTATAGATAGTACAATGCATAATGGAAGACAAAAAATGAGTGTGGACTGACTGTATTATTTAGCATTCATAGACTGCTTTTACGCACAACAACTTTTTACCAAGTTGGGAGAGAGCGCGAGGACGGCTCATGCCATGCAGGTTCAGGTAGTCTATACAGGACTATACAGGACTGTAGCTGATTAGTATGCTGTTGCATCGAATATAAATGTTACAATCTGCAATGTTTGCATTTCCAACTTTAATTACTGAACAAGTAATTACATTATTGCCACCAGCCAGCAGTCTAAAAATGGCAGCATTGCGACACCGTGTATAGCTTTGTGAAATGTTAGGCTTCGGCGAACTAGGACCTTGCGGGGTTCCAGAGAAACCGCGTTACGCCAGTGCTAGAGGTCTAGAGTGACTGAGATCTTTGATACATCCGTGTGGCTTGTACCTCTTTTCACAGAGTACAACCTCTTAAATCAGCAGGAACACTATACTAATTCAGTTGTTATACCACTTCCACTTCGTTCATTATTACGCTTCCATCCACTTTTCCCTTCTCTGATTTCCCTGTAGATCACAAGTCGAAAGTTTTACAAACAACAGCCTCAAGAGAACGAGGAGTAAAAAAGACAATGAACCCGAGCGACCTAGAATAGGTATGATTAACGTTCCACAATCACTTTCATTTGAAAAAAACACAGAGAGAGAGAGAAAAATAGAGAGAGAGAGAGAGAGAGAGAGAGAGAGAGAGAGAGAGAGAGAGAGAGAGAGAGAGAGAGAGAGAGAGAGAGAGAGAGCACAAAAAAACAGCCGATAACGAGTGGAGCTGCAATTAAGCAGACAGGCCTTGACTTCAGTCGTGATGCAATGTGTCAATCACTCTGTCGCTATTCCATTTTTGTGCACGTGAAGAGAGGGACCAGGAGATGAAGGAGTGCCTGTGTGTGACAGAGAGACTCCAACCCGATGCAGATCTGGTAAATCTGCAACAGTACTGCTTTGTTGCCTGCGACAGAACTAGCTCCTATTCCTGACTGAATTCTCAGCCGTTTATGAAGATGTACAGGAAAATAATGAAACAAATGATTAAACACCATCAGACATTTAGCCTAAAGGGATAAACAGCCATTACCAAATTAAAAGAAAAAACGAATCACAAACTACGGCACTTAAAAGGCGAAAGTTAAAGGATGCCAAGCGAAAAAGTAATGTATTCAGCCTAAGCAAAGTTTAGAAGATAAATAATAGCAGTTTTTTGCTATTTCCATATTTTTTCACACCACTACAGGGAAAACTGACACTTCAGAGATAAGATACCCATCACAAGAATGGCTGCTGTGTGTTTGATAGTGAGCTTATTGACTGTGTGATAGAGACAGTGTCAGGATTAGAGGGCCTAGGTTTGGGGGTATGGCTGACTCTGTTGTGGGTTACCCATGTCACATTAGAGAGGAGATCACAGACAGGTGGAGGCGGGTGACGGGTGTGTGATGAGGGTTTTCCTCAAAGAGTCATCATGTTCTATCACAAGAGGCCCAAATCCCCCTGGGAGGAAGGGGCTGATCCGCTGGGAATGGAGCTGTACACTTGTGTAATTCACATCATTAAGTAAACACATCAAATGGAAGGGCTAGATAATATACAGGTATTTGTTACTATTAGCATTTGCTGATCTGCTAAAATTCTGTTCATTTCCAAGTGTGTGTGTGTGAGTCCATTGGCATGTCTAACTGTTGTAATTGAAAGTGACGGACCGGGAAGTAGGAGGGGTATGGTCGCCTACACATCTCAACATTGATCTTGTCCCATGCCTTGGTAACTCA